ATATATATATATAAAGCTTATTTTATATTGAAGAAACAGAAATATAAATCTGCAGAACACTGGTACAGGGTCCAACAGTTTCTGCTCTCTCTTGGTGAAATACAATTATCTCCTTATCTACCCCACTTGGCAACAAATGTATGACTGGAACACATCCCACATGAGGGGAAACATATTAAACTGGCAAAAGTACACCTCTTTAACAACTCCTCATTTATCTCTCACAGCAAGGACACGACCAGAAAAGGACAATGAGCACACACACACAAATATCCCCTTGAGACGTAATATTTGCTATCGCAATGAGTAAAAAAATAACAATGGGATTTCAGCATAATTTTTTTGTGTTTCAATAATGTTCATCACATTAAAAGAAATACACAAAAAGAAGGAATGAACGAGGACAGCAGGAATGCAGCAAACATATTAAAGCTTTGTGATGAAAAGAGTTYGAGATGATGTAGCAGATCAAAGATGGAGAAGGGACTGGAAGAGGTGCACTTCAATGAATGACAACATAAAAGATACAGAAGGAATAAAAATACAGGCAGAACAAGAACATACAGTGAAGAAGCACAGAGCTGGAGCAAGATAGCCAGGAAAAAAGAGACAAATACAAAGACACTGGACTTGGAATATATTGAGACGCAGACACAGGGCTGCAAGGCATTAAAGTCTAAACCATCAATCCCACATGTGTACAAGGCTTTTAAGGTTGTAAAATGCGCAATCAGCACTAAGAGGAGCGCAGCATGGGTCTGAACGAACAGCTGAATCACAAATAGAGAAACATCTTTTTTTTGTGTCGCGAGAACTGCAAATAATGTGCTCATCCACAGAGTCCTGGTCAGTTCACGCAGGGATCATGAATTTTTTTGGAGCAGGAGGAGTGGAGGTTGAGTCTTTAATGAATGAAAGCAGGTCAGGAGCAAAAGGTCTTCTCTGCGAAATGAAATGAAAAGAAATGAGGAGAGATAATGAACGAGCGCAGGGGAACACAAGATGAGCTAAGTGGGCCGTCAAATCAGCGATCTGAGTATCAAGGGGGACGGAAATGAACTATTAGCAAATGTGATTAGAGGGCACACATTCACGAAGAGCTGGAGAGGTGTAATATTTAAATGGATTCCTATAAGAGACAGGTAAGCCTGAAAACAGAAGCAGGAGAATCCAGGTTAATCGGGACGCTCTTGTCCAAGCCCCATCCTGCCTGATCTGGTGCTTCGCAGGAGCATCTTTAAGCTTGATCTTATCTTTGTGTTCCTTCAATGCTGATCCTCACTACCTGTGCACCTGCTGTGATGGACTATGTGTAAAAGCTCTGCTCCACTGTTACCTGGCACTGCAAGAGCTTTCATCAGCTAACCCTCGCAACAGCGGCAGGATTCTGGCAACATTTCTGCCCCGCTTTTCCATCCTTGTAATTGATCCAGCCACCTTTATCTCTATGCACATCCACCAGCAGATCTCATGTCTTTCATTCTTTTTCCTCAAGTTTTTCCTCTTTATTGGATTGTGTGTTGTGATCCCTGCTCTTTGTTAATATGCTTCCATGCTAGAGCACGGCTCATCCAAAGACGACACTTTTCCCACTACTTTTAATCAACTTTACAGCACTTTTCAGGCGTGGGGTTTGAAGCACTTTATAGGGCTGAAACAATTCAATAGCTAATCGATAGGTGTGTGTTTTTATCAGCCTCTGCCCTCATTAGAGCCACTTTCCTGTCTTGTCTCCTCTAAGCGTTATATATGAGTCAATTCCCTGTGCTGGGTGTGTGTTGTTCCTTGTAATGTATCCTTTATTTTTTAATGACTTTAATGACTTTCTTTGAAATAAGCCAAACTTGCAGTAAAAAAATAGCTTTTGCTATGATTTTAAAGTCCAACTATTGACACAAACTGATTTCTGGTTTCAACGTGTAAACTGGTTTTAACAAGAAGCCAGAAAACATTTCTCTGGTTGAGTGTGTTGTTGAGTAAACTTGTTCTTCACCACTTGTTGCTGTAATGTCTGCTTCTTCCTTTTAAAAAGAGAAGGTCAGTTTGGCTGTTTTGCTGATATCAAAATTCACTGATTTTCAAACCTAGTAATAGCTGAGGATATTTCTGAGAATGTGTCTTTTTTATTAATTATAAAAGGTTTTGTGGTACAGAAGAATAAAAATGGTGAAGGAAATACTGAGACCACCCAACTCATCAAAATCCCACCAATGGTGCCATTTTTGGAAATTATTTTTTAAAGTCTGTCACTTATCATATTTGAGGATCTTCTTGTGTCCATTATGACTAATTTAGTTTACATCTGCAGGGTGAGTTGTTAATACGTCAGACCAAAGAATGCAGGCTAAACATAAGCTGGAGTAAAACTAAGATTTTAAAACAGGTAAAGCAAAAACCTGGACCGACAGCAAACGATACAAATGGACAAAACCTGAAGGAGACGAGGAATCAGACTGTGTGAGGAAGCCACAATGCCAGACTGCTGAAGAGGTGAATAYGGGGAGACTAAGGTTACGTTCACAATGCAATAAAATGCAAACCGTATTGGATTTTTTCGTGACATCTGCTTTTTTCTAATTTGACCCAAGCCTTTTCAGTACRTGGTWCTAAATTGGATGCATAACTGATGTTGAATGACTGAGAATCCACATAAATGTGTTATAGTAGCATCTGCCTTGGACTGCACCGAWATTAAAGTTATTGGATCGATACTTTAGTTAGTTTTTACTTTCAGCACGCCCCTTGCAGTGTTGTATAAAGTACATCAAAGTGATACTTGAGTAAAAGTACAAGTATCGTATTAAAAATACTTTGGTAAAAGTTAAAGTCTTCTCTAAAAATATTACTTGAGGAAAAGTCTTAAAGTATCT